AACGACGCAGAGAATAAACGTTTTAACTTTGGTAAGTTGTTTTTATTTGTATGCAGTTTATTTGTTCGATGTCTTTGCTGGCTTCGATCGCTCAGTCGTCAGAGCAAGCGCCTTTCACCTCTGAGATCGTGGGTTCGATTCTCGCTACGGACTCATGTGAAAAGAGTCAGTCAACGCTCTGGCGAAAGTCGGGGGTTTTCTCCGGTTGATCCGGTTTCCACCCACTGGGAAAATTGACAAGATGGGTTAAACACTGTTAGGAAAGTAATATCTCAATTGTAGTAAAGATAAATAGTCTAGGCTAAGTAAGTAACATGAGCGTAATACTTGATGTAATCGGTCACAGCTGAAAGGCCCCAATGGGAAGTGAGCTGAATCATAATGTAATGTAATGTAATGTAATAATAAAAATTTCTTATTTGTGTTTTTGCAGTCTGCAATCTGCATTTTATATTTACTTATTTGAAATTTCACATCCACCTTTTCCGGTACAAGTTGTTTACGTCTAGCCTCTAGGCTATTAAGACTTAGCTGTATACAGTAAAAGTTTATACCTTCTTTATACATAAAAGAATAATTCAATCACCTCCCGAACTACTGACTTCTTAATTTTGTCCACAAAAGCAAAAACTGTATATATTTTATGTCATCCATGAAGAATTAAAACGTAGCGGTCCGAAGACAGAGAGCCTTGTTGAACTCCGCGTATAATTAGATTTTCCTTTATTTACGAAGATTCAAAATCTGGCGCTACCTTAAGGCGTCGACCTGCGCAGTACGTTATTAAGTAGATCACGAGCAAGACTCAATAGTTGTTCCAAATATTTCATATAATGCTGAATTTCTGTATAAGACTGATATCATGTCCAGCAATGGTGCTTTTGCATTTTGTATACAACGAACCTCTTCATTTCTAAATTTTTGTTCTGTTCCAGCTGTCCTAAAGATCAGTACATGGTGGTCAAGATTGCATCGTACCGTGGATTGTCTGACACAAAGACATGTGGTTTGAGTGATGATCATAGTTGTGAAGTTGATGTAACATGTCTTGTTAAGCAACAATGTGATGGTCAACATGAGTGTAATATAACTGTGGATGACAACTTGTTCTCTGGTGATCCATGTCCTGGATTGACAAAATATCTTTAATTTGAATATCAATGTAATGACACTAGCGAAACCTTTGAAGGTGTTTGTGGTACGTACGACACTGGAGTAAAAATGATGATCGTTATTTAACTCCCCAAAAATCATGAATAAAAAGGCAATATGTGGTACGATAATTTACATACACCCTCGGTGTACCTTAATCCATCATCCCATTAAATTATTCGCTTGTTCATTGATTGTTTTCAACGCAACTCAACTGGAGTAGTCGCTTGTACCAAATTGAGTTCCAAATAGTTGAACTAAACTACAATCGTGCCTCTTTGAGAGTTTAGGTTGTGGTTTGATTTCTGTATCTTCCCTAAAACCCCCCTCCCCCAACACAATGTTGTTGAATTACGTTTAACATGTGGGGAAAATAATGGCAACATTGGGTGGGGGAGAGGGGGGGAACCTAATGAAGTTATTCGAATGTATATTTTGCTAAAATTTTGATCTATTTTATTAACAGTATTGTCCACGATTGTAGCTTAAACTGAAATAAATAGTGTTCCAAGCCTAATTATATGTGAAGCTACAACTTTTGTTTTCTGGCATTGTTTTTGAAGTTCTTGATGTGTTTCTGTCGCATTCATCTCTACCAAACGAGTCTATTAACGACAACATTGCGCAAGAAACATTTTCAAATTTTGATGCCTTTTTAGTGTCCAGTTTGCTTATTCTCCTAAAACGTCTTGCAAACACTGACTAAAATCAGAAGAAAGAAGCAGAAACTTTCTACTATTTAATTTAAAAAACTTACTCAGAACGCCTCTAGAAAATTTCTTTAAAATAACCATTTTCTACCATATTTTCGCTCCCTAATACTAAAAAATACAACCCCTGAACAAGTTACATTTATACGACCAAACGTTTTGATTGATCCTCCAAGCTAGTGTCTTTACACCATGCAAGGGTGATAAAAACGTGACTCATTGTATACTCAAAATGCCTGACTTATATTAATTACATTGATTTAAATACAAACCTTGGTTTTATTCTTTAGCTCCAAGCGGTCCTCCATTGAATATCAAGACCTCATCAAGAAGTACATCATCATTGTCTTGCACCTGAGATCCTCCTGAGAAAAATAAACAAAATGGCGTCATTAGCCATTATACTGCGTGTGTTTCACATTCAGAAAATGGTCCTTGCTTGGAGATATTTACAACCAGTAAAAGAGAGTGGCTCGTCAGAAATTTGAACGCATCAACGAAATATTATGTTCGTGTTCTTGGCAGTAATAAAGCAGGAAGTGGTGCTTACAGTGGAAGTAAAGGATTTTTACGAATGGAAGTAAGTACAACATGTATATTTGGACATTGTACATGTCTGTGGTGAAGAAAGCTGTTCAGAATTTAATGTTTGCCTACTTTTATGCCGTTCAAAAACCCTACACAGAGCTTCGTTATAGCAAGATATTTTACTCGTCAATACTTTCACATTTTCCTCCAGGAGCAGCAAAGAAGGCCACAGAAGTGACATCAAGTACGCTCACATTTTCGTTGGAAATTCCATCGAAAACGTTTGTGTAAGTTTATTGACTTTCTGAAACTGAGCTACCATTGAGATTCGTCCTAGATATTAGGAAGCTATTTGGATTTTCTTTTAACGGTTGTTATATTTGAAGTAAGAAGATAAACTTTTGTTTGTAGTCATTTCTACGTGGTGGCTTTGAAATTAAAAGATGACAAGGAACCTACATCATCTGACAGTTACGAGAACAGTGAGTTAGTGACGTATGCCGAGGCAAGAAAATCAACCAATCCAAAAACTTATATCGCTGCAGTTGTTGCATTCAGCGGAGTTGATGGAAACATGTTTATACTTGGTGAAGGCAGAAATACAAGTGATCCAACATCACGAAGACGCAGATCAACCTCGAGTGATTATTATAATGGTCCGTTGGAGCCTGGCAATAGTTACAGTATTTTTCAAAGGATTGTACTCAATAACAAGGTATGGTACTTGTTGCTTATCACCATAGTCATCAAAATATGATGGTCAGGGGCCGGTTGTATAAAACTCTTAATCACTTTTTAATCACTATTTTGTAGTTAAATAGTGATTAACTCTTAAATAGGCGCTTCTTATTGGATGACATTTCCACTTAACTATGATTAACTTTAATCACATTTTTATACAACCGGCCCCTGGGAACTAAACAGACGTCATTGTCTTGTAAGTGTATGTTAATTTGTGCACGGTCACGGTGACTGAGCTCATTGTATTTCGTAGAATAAAGTAACTGTCCAATAGGGATAGCTGAGATGAAAGTGCAACCATGATGAATAATATTTAATGAAGTTGAGACAAACGATTTGGGCGCGGTGAAGAACTGTAGTTCAACATAAAAGACAGGCCTTCTATTTTGTAGCTTTGAATCCAGACCATCATATCTTAATAGACTATGGTTATCTATCACACTTTAAAAGTTAAGCTTTCCTTGTCTAATTCTCGTTTAAAAGCAATTTGGCATTGACACCGATGCCAAACATAGTAAGAACAACGTTATAAATCTTTTGTGTATCTAAAACAACACCGATAAATTTCTATTTACTTGCTTTACTTTAGAGCGAATATTACTCCACAGATTGGAGTCCTGCTTCAAAAACGAACGAATATACAGGTAAACACAGGCAAACAATTTAACTGTATTCATAGATGAGTTAGAGTTAGATAGTACAGCCACAAGAAAAAGATACACAGTCGAGATGAAATCCATTATTCGTAGAAAATAATGGTAGTACATTTGTTTGGTGAAAACATGTTCCTTATCAGTATATTCCAATATTTCTTGTATTTTCTGTTTCCCAGGTGGCCCTCGTGTACTGACCAAGATATCCAGTGGTGACATAAAGGCAAAGGAAGGTGATCTTGTCAACCTACTGTGTTCCGCTGAAGGTGAACCTCCAATTACTTTCAGCTGCAAAAAGATCACTAGAAGCCACTGGAAAGTTTCACAGAAACTAAAAAGCCTCACCACAGTTCATTACTTGTTGTAACAGTGAAAGACCAAACAAGTTTTGGGGAATATATTTGTCATATCCGAGATCGATTTCAAAGCACTACTCATGCAATTTCGATCCAGAATGATACAGGTAATACTGCATTCGACTAATTCAACCTTCATAAATTTGATAAACCAAAACCTACCGGGCAATCAGACCACAATCATTTCTGTTTTAAATGTGTTATCTTGAATGATTACGTGATCCAAAGAAGTGCATTTTCAGACATTCAAAGTTAACGCGTTGTTTAATATTTACATAGGTGCAGAAGATGCTGAAAACTTTCTTGCTGCAATTATAGTTTTAGCAATTCTGCTGCTCATTTCACTTGTTATCCTTGCTTACTTTATCTATCAAAATCGTCGACTCAAATCATCAAAGGCAAACCCAGAGAACAAGAACAAGGACAGAAATAATTCAAAAGATATTTATGAAAATCCTGAGAAAATCCAAGATGATGCGAATTATGAACAAGTGGAAAATGAACACTCGACGTATAAAGGTCTCGAAAAGACTGGGGAGGAAGAAAATGATGATAACTTATATAGCCATCTAAATGAAGTACACAAGGACTACGTGAATCGGAAGGAAACTGGAATTTAAGGGGGCTCTTGTACGAAGCCCGTTTGGTTTATGTAGTGAATAACCTTAATACAGATAGTAAGAAATAAGCCAGCATAAATTTGTTAAATAACCAAACTGAACACTTTCGAATTGAATAGAAGATTACTAATACCAAGTAATTGTTGAACTGTTATCATAATACCTGAAATGTATAAAACATAATCTATAGCCGTGTTTACGTGATTTAGGAATGTTTGATATTTGTTATTCCTGCAATTTCAAAAGCACCACAGTCTTCCCGCTGAGTTTCAATGAATATTTCTGTTATTTTGCTTCGCGTCGTTGGTTCATGTCTTCTTCCGCTTTTATAACGTGTACTTGAATTGAAGTGCTTCCTCAACTAAAGATGTTTTCAAAGTGTTTTCATTTTGTAATACTGACTGTGATTTTCCTGTTACTCCAAGGTACGTTTTCTGTCGTTTATAACATGCATTTATAATTCATGTGCTTTCAAACACGCACGCAGTCACTTCCGTGATGAACCTATAACCTCATAATAAGTGGCAATGATTATAAATCTAAACAAAACGCTCCACGGAGCGTTGTCGCTGGGACTATGGAAATGGGCAGCTTTAAGTACAAGTATATCACTGAAGAAGAGCGGGTTCGTTTTTTCGAGAATATTGATTCCCTAAGTTTGCAGTTTGCCTGGCAGTTACCGCTAAAAATTTAAACAAGCACAACCATTGTTTTAATAATAGTCATAGAGTACAGTTAATTTTATTTTGAGCCTGACTGTAAATTATTTGCGTTTTAATAAGTCGGGTCCCTGATTTATACTCGCCTCTTTCGCGTAAGACCCGCTTCAAAATTGCATAAACATAAAACAGTTTACAATACAAGTCACCCGGCGACCACTCAGATCACTCCTTAAACGGCGGCCATCTTGTTCATTAATATTCTATTTTTTTCGACGATGCGGCTATCCGACATCTGACATCTACAAAAAAGGTCGTGCCAAAACCTATAGTCGCAGTCTGCCCGAACTACACTGCAGACTGAATATACAAGATTGCATTAAATTTCATTGCCATTATTTGAACCAACTGTGGAGTTAAATTTTTGAAGAATAGATCAGAATAACTGCTTCTAATAAACAATGTACACCATCGACTGAGCAACCAATCAGTTTAGTTAATTAGCTTGCATTAGCTTGATGCATGTTTAGACAAATGAAATATACTTATGTGATATAAGTCATATAAATGAGCTGTGAAAGACACTGTGCCATGGACATGCAACTATCTATTTAATGGTACTTCATATAAACGCAGACACGCAACAGGAGTCCATTATTTACTTCGTTATTTCTTTTTATTTTCGTGTTTTGTTTCAGGCGCTGCTGGTTTCTTTGTGAAACATGTGCAGACAGGGATGTGTATTAGTGTCGCAGGAATGCTACAGACGGACGAGCCTTGGGGAAACTTAACTTATGTGGAACTTTCCAACAACTGTCTGGATCCAGCTGCTCAGTTTCGGTTTCTTGATAATAGTGCCATGCTCAATTTGAAAAGAAAGGGATGTTTCGAGGGAAGAGCTAGGGATGATACTGGTTATCATCTTCCTATGTTGTATTTGCTCCTTGCTAAAGATCCTTCAATTAATTGTCGTGATCCGTACCATGCCATAACCCAGACCTCTTGGGGAGGTTTATCTGTTTTTTATTTACATGATCAACGGGGGCGGTGTGCAGTCCCTAAAACAGCTGATGCACTCGCAAATAAAGGAATAGATCCCTACATCAGATTGACGACAAAATGTACCGATGCAGAGGATAAATATTTTAATTTTGGTAAGTTGTTTTTATTTTTGTATGCAGTCAATTTGTTTTATGTCTTTGCACACTAAAAGTTTCTTATATTTGTGGTTTTGCAATCTGCATTTCATATTTACTTAAATTTCTCACTCACCATTGCCGCTAAGCTAGGATAGAGTGTAGACGTAAACCACTTGTATTAAGACTTAGCTGTATATAGTAAAAGCTCTTATACCTTCTTTATACATATAAGAATGATTGAATTACCTCGGGAACTGCTGACGTCTTAATTTTATCCAGAAAAGCAAAACCTGTATATATTTTATGTCATCGATGAAGAAAATAAAACGTAGCGGTCTGCAGACAGAGCTTTGTTGAACTCCACGTATAATCGGATTTTCCTTATTAAGTGAATCACGAGCAAAACTCTATATATAGTTGTTCCAAATATTTCATATAATGCTGAATTTCTGTATAAGAATATCATGTCCAACAATGGCGTTTTGCATTTTTTATACATCGCTATGTCGTTCAACAAATTCTCTTGCCCTACTTGATATTGTCATTTAGTGCTCGTCATTTCTAAATTTTCGTTCTGTTCCAGGTTCAGTGACGTGTCATGGAAATATGACAGAGAATGCCAACTGTCCTAAAGATCAGTACATGGTAGTCAAGAATGCATCGTACCATGGATTGTCTACCACAAAGACATGTGGTTTGAGTGATGATTATAGTTGTGAAGTTGATGTAACATGCCTTGTTAAGAAACAATGTGATGGTCAACATGAGTGTAATATAACTGTGGATGAAACCTTGTACTCTGGTGATCCATGTCCTGGATTCACAAAATATCTTTACTTTGAATATCAGTGTAGTGATACAGCAACGTCTTTTAATAAACTTTGTGGTATGTATGGCTAATGAAATTAGGAAAGTTCATATTTGAACTACTGCTACCTGGCAGTCGTTTAATACGCATTTGATTCGTGCAGATTAAACGTATCTGATTCGTTAATGGTAAGGCTAGTGGAAGTCAAATCTGAATCTTTCTAAACACTTTTATATAAAGCATAATTTATCGCAAATTTTTATATAAAAGCATGCATCGATAATGAAACGAAAAACTCAAAATTGTAAAACTTTAAACTCGTGACTGTGTTAAACTCCTGACTCGTGACATGTTAACTCCAGCAATTTTCGGCCTGGTCGCGTAATTTTGAAAACGGGTGTAACGGTCATTCGCTTGTTCAGCAATTCTTTTACATTGCACATATTTTTATGTACTATTTAAAAAACGAGCAGGAGTGTTTTATTAGGTTTAAAGCCACGAGCGCGCAGCGCGAGTGGCTTTAGACCTAATAAAACACGACCCGCGAGTTTTTTAAATGACTTCAAAAACGTATGCATAATAAGTCAAATCTTTATATAAAAATCTTTATATAAAAATCTTTATATAAAAATCTTTATATAAAAATCTTTATATAAAAATCTTTATATAAAAATCTTTATATAGTTTGCATAACAATGGTCTTTTGTTAAAGTGTTCTTTGGCTGGTTTAAAGACGTATGCACGTGACTAATTTCTTACTCAAAATTGGATAATTGCTTCATGAATTATTAATGAGTTTTTGAATCAGTTTTAAAAGATCGCCGAAAAAAAACAAAGTTTTTACCGAAATTCAAAGGTTACCATGCAAGCCAAATAAACTGTGATGAATTGACCAATATTCTTCTTGTTTTGTTTTTGTAGTTGATAGTGTATCTTTGTCATATTCATCTCTACCAAATGAAGGTTTTGTAAAAATTACAACTGACAGTGGGATCAAGAATGTTTGTTGGCAAAGTTTAGGAAACGCAAAGGATGTTGTTTGTCGTGAATTGGGTTGCAAACAAGCAGACTCACTGGCTGAAAAGGCCGCTCCATCGGATTTAAAAGATAAAAATTTTTCTGGAAGTATTATATAGCGTGTAATGATGGTGATACAAAATTATCCCAATGTTCGGTTACCACTTCTTCCCAAAGTTGTTCGACATTCTCGCACTTAAAATGTAAGTTTTTTACAAAAAGGATGACGTGCATGTGACTTAGGTTAGAATGAAAGAGATAAAAACAATGTTCGTAAGACTTAATTTTCATATTTCAGGTCATATTTGTCAACGGCCACTGTTAGAAGATAAACAAAGATTTCCAGATTCGTCATTTACTGCCTCAGCATCTTCAGGTCGCAGTCCGTCTGATGCAAGAATATCTAGTGGCAGTTCTTGGTGTGCTCCTGCCGCGGATGACAAACATTATCTTCAAGTGGACTTATGAAGACTTTATGTGATACACAATTTCGTAACATTTGGAGATGGTACCAGTTCCAAGTGGGTGGTTACATATAACTTGAATTACACTATTAATTTGATAAATGGGGATTCAGTGAGCCAAACGGTAATTGCTACAGTATATATTACTTTTCAGGTTACTTATTTTATAATTTATAGTATTTTGTATGACAGAACAGTGTAACGTAAAGAAAATAAATTATTTTTGGTCTTTAGACATTTCTAGGAAACAAAAATGCTTGCAATGATGCAGCCACACAAGATTTCCCTGGAGGAGCAAGAGCAAGAGCTTTGCGGTTCATTCCATTAACATATGTTGGTCAACCGTGTGTGAGAATTGAAATCTGTGGTGCTAGTAAGTTATTTTTCTTTTCTCGTTAAAGAGGATATAAATCAACAAATTCAATTATTTCTATTATTATGTAATTGTGTGCAAAAGATGGAAAACCACGAAAGTTCGGGCAAACGGTAGGAAAAATCAAGAAAATTCAGGCAGATTTATCAGAAAATATGTTAAAATCAGGTTATTTCATTACAATTCTCCATAAGTATTCGGGCAAACTTTCAACTGTCCTCCCCCCCCCCCCAGAAAACATCAGCCCCTTTCTCCTATGCGTATTAATGGATTTCGAAGCCTCGCACGACGTAGAAAAGGTAATTCTTTAATACAGAATAAAGATTTGTATGTTCTAAGACTCTAAAAAGGTTTAAATGTAGTATATTGCTCACAGGCCGTCAGAGAGTTTTTGTAGTATATGAAGTGCATGTTTGCCATGTTGTTTATACGTCTGTAGTCAATGTGTTTTGCAAATTTAATACGTCAATTGTACACCGAGAAATACAAAATACTTAGGGTTCATTATTTATCGGTTGGGGGGGGGGGTATAATAATGGGAGGGGGGTATATTTTACGTGTGTAAAAGAGTGGTTTAAATCTTTTGAAGAAGTGTTTGGGGAGAAAATAAAATTTTATAGCATTGAAAAAAGAAGATGATATAGAAAGACTGAAACAGTCGGGCGTAGCCAGGGCAAAAGGTGTGAGCCATTTTAGGGGAGGTCTGCATGGGGCATGCTTCCCCAGAATATTTTGAAATCTAGGGTCCCTGAAATGCGAATTCCTGCATTTTCGGGGTGTGAGTTTGCATAAGTCCGAAAACTGTATATAATGCATAAAAGGCATGATTTTTCGTGATGGAAAATGATGGGTTAAAATAATTCAAATTACTTTTAAAACTCGAATGATGAGTGAATGTAAATATATTTTACATTTAAAAACCTAAAGTAAACCCTTTCTTCTTGGGGCCGTATCTACCTACTTAGACAAGGTTATACACAATTATATTGTGGATTTGGATTTTTATTTCACGTACCCCTCCCCCCGTTGGCTATCCTGTCCAGCATCCCCAAGTTTAAGGTCCTCTCTACGCCCCTCGGCCCCTGGTTGTAAAGAGGACACAAAAGAATAGGATGGAAAGAACTACCATACGGCCATACTATATTCTTCTTAACTCTTTCTCGACAACCGGTTTCGTATTACATTTCGATACAATTTTTCTAATATAAATATCTCGGCGAGTATTTACCCCCCTATTAAATAAATGCCACCATTGAAATCCTCACAATATAACCTTTCGAACGGGGGATCAAGTGCCGTCAAAACATTACACAAACCGAAACAATCATATATTTATACTCACCGCTTCGCCAAACATTCAAACGAGAAAATTAGAAAAAGTTGAATATATTCTAAACTTTGGTGTCATTTCCTGAAAGGATATGTGTAAAATACTCTTTGTATTCAAGCGCTTTCGTGTAGAAAGTCCTGTAGAAAGTTTCGTATGTATACGCCGACTAGAAATATTTATTCTGAATTTTTCAAGGTATCGGGTTTTACTAGCACGCGCTTGTATTACGTAATACTTGGCCAATAAGGAGCTCCCTTTAGCCGGGATGACGTAAAACTCACGCGTATGGGTGCACTTTGACCTGTAGAACCATTTCTGGCATTTCCAGAGTCACGCGATGCAAGCGTCGCATTGTTTTGACGGTTTTTCTTCGTATTTCCGGTTGGGATTAACGCATATTCGGAGCAGAAATACAAAATTCGGCACTAAATGTCGAATTTTAAAGATAGAAGCTTGAAAATAACACTATACGTGTTATTTTTAACTTCTTATTGCAGCAAATGGAACGAAGTTATATTCGGCGAAAGGTATGTTTATGTTTATAATTTGTCAGTAATATTGCGTAATTTGATCATATTTATTCATATACGAGCTCGTTTGACTTTCAAAGCTCATAAATCGCTATAATGTTGCCATTCACTAAATCTATCGATAGGAATGAGTAGCTATCGTTACACTGAATCGAATGGTGGTATTTTGGTCCACGTAGCATTTACCGAACTGAAGATATGAACCGCAAAAATGATAAATCATGAGTGATTTGTTTAATTGGGACCTGTCGGGAAAGAGTTGTAAAGGGGTGGATTACATTTTTAAACACATTAAAAGGGAGGGTCATTTTTATTATGCTGTTTGAATTTTAGAAT